GCGATTCCTGAGAGATAGTCTACGCAATAGCGATGACTACAATGTCCAGGGCCATCCAGTGTGTTTGATTTTTAGATTAACCCATAAGAGATAAGTTATGACTGTATTATCATTAATTAAACTAACATGATTTGTGTAGTTGTACGAAACCAATTTAAATCCAGTTCAGAAAAAGTAAATGACCGAAAAACATTACACAATATAATTCATCTGTATTTTGTGTATATGATAGGTATTAGAGACCTACGAGAGAAAATGAAAAGGGGTGAGTCATTGATAAGATTTCAATAATAACTCCATATAGCTGACCAGTTTTTAGCTATGCTTATTTGAAGCAGGCACCGCAATATAGCTCTTGATTCCATTCGTCCTTGCATTTGAAGTGCAGTGCCTCCAACTTAGGCATTGATCAGCCAGTGCAAAATATTGAAATCATTCATTTGACTCCAAAAGTCTCAATAGCTACAGTCAATACAATTGAATAAATTGAGAGCATAACCGCCTGCTTTGTGCACAAAAATCACCGTCCATTTCATGCTGACCGTGTTTCACAGTGTTCAAGATCTTATTCACGATTTGATAATGTGAAATATTTTATTGTCAATTTTCAATATGATGAATGCAGACGGGTGTATTGTAGCTACGTCAAAAGTACGAGTGAAACGAACATCTGGTGATGTGGAGGATAAAATGGTCTCCCAGCTACAGATAGATGATTTGGTAGAATCATTTGATACTCATCATAAGAACGTGATATTTACTTCAATATATTTCATCAGTCATCAAGAAACCGGTGATGCACCTAACTCAATGCTGAGATTATGCTGCAGTTCAACAACCATTGTACTATCACCATCGCATCTTGTATACACATCTATCATCAGTGACCAAGGCAAAATATCTTTTCACAATACCCCTGTCAGAGCAGATGCGCTTCGAGTTGGCAGTTTTCTGTGGCGCAGAGATAAAGTTACCAATAAATTATCAACGGATGTCGTCAATGAAATTAACATTGTCAATGAGCCTGTACGACATCCAATGACAATGAATCACATCATTATTGTGTTTTTAATGAAATATTTTTGTAGGGTTTTATGCACTAATATTAGTAATATCATGACATTTCAAAATTTATTCTTTGACATGCTAATTTACAGCACAGTCTACTAGAAAAGTCCATGTGAAACCAATGCTTTATTTTAG